ATTACCCACTGAGGTCACTATCAGGAATGACAAACTGAAAATATTGCTAGCCCAAACCGTCCCTTAAATCATGCAAAAACTAGCTGGAAAAGCAAAAATAGACCCACTCTGCTCTGTTACTTGGTTTCCATCTTGGAAGGAAAAATCCTCTCTAAAGAAGAAGGGGATATTTATCTCCATTGTCATACACTGGTCTGAGCTCCGTAGCTGAAATTACAGCCCTGTAAGACCGAATACCTATCCTGTGGGAACAGGGCTGGATTAAAAACTTAATTCATATGGATTGCAATCGGAGCATGGCAGGGGGAGGACCTTTGAACTCCCAAGCTGAGCCAGACATGAAAAAGCAATGCTAGTTTTTCTAATCCTTTGGCTCATATTCACGCATCCCAGTGCTCAGGACAGATATACACCTCTATATCATGCTCTGGATGCGGGCATCCCCTCGTGAGTAGGTCAAGGGAGAAGAAAATGCCACAGGGAAGTTTGCATCAAAGCCAGAAAATTGTTTCATGTAAGCCAGTAATCCTTCACTGGGATCAGATGGCTCTCATATAAAGTATGGCAGTTCCAACACATTACAAATACAGGGGGAATTGTTAGGTGCTAACAGGAAAATCATGCTGGTTTTACCACTGCTGATAGATTCAACTCTAGCTCACTGAATACCTCCACTAATTTTAGGCTCCTGATTATATTTCTTAATGGAAAAAAAAAAAATCCTTTGAATGAAACACTTTTATTTAGTGTTCATTCCTATTACTGTCTTTCTGTGTGGCTGTTCTGTCCAGTTCAGGCTTTGGGGGAAAAAAAAAAAATCCTATCTGACAAACATCTAGGAAAATTATTTTGGTAGATACTTTATTACAGAGAAGAAGGTGAATGAAATGGGGATATATCTGCCTAAACCTTTGTTTTAATAGGAATAAATACAGTTGACTCCTGATTTGTTATTCTGTTTGGATTAAAGAGTGAGGAACCCCCCTCTCACATTTCAGTCTATGAGAGAGCTTTCTCCTTTTCAGAAACAACCAGCAAGAGAGAGATGACAACAGTTCACACAGAGGGTATGTCCTTATCTCTGTAATTCTTTGACTGAGAGTATATTAAAACGATAAATTTACACTCAAAAAAATAATGTGAATATTTTGGAAGCTATGAATTCCTCTCTGAGAAGCAAAGACAAGTATTAGCAAGATGTCAAAATATGAAAGGAAGAGAAAAAAGCCAAATAAAATAAAGCAACATTTTTATGACAAGCTTTTATACAGGTGCACAGGAAAATTTTGGCCAAATGCCTCCTTTTTCTGAAAAGGAATTCAGAAGAGAACCCTGAATTTCATTTAGAAATAATATAAAAAGAAACACACTAAAAGCAATTTAAAATTTTTTTCAGATGGATCCTTTTTGCATGCACATTTAAGGTCCTGCTTCAACAAGGTTCCTAGCCAACTGCCTGGATTTACACATTTAAGTTTTCTGTTTAAATGTTTAATTCTTATCTTCATACCTTCCCTATAGACCACAGATTTGAGTACCTGCTGAAAAGTGAATTTCAAGAATGCTGATGGCTAGCAAATTTCTCTCGTTTAGGTTGAAACTCTTTATGATAAAGACTGAGGGATTTTTTTTTTTACTATACTGTATGTTGCTGAGCAGAATTTAGTATCAGCAGTGAATAAATACTAAGGCAGGATTTTAATACTGTTACCATAATTATCAGTAATTAGGTTTAAATTTGCTATATTTATAGCATATAGTAACCCTACAAAAAGCACAAAAAAAATAATAATTAGAAATAAGTTCCATACTGATGAATCTGATCATGTTATGCCAAGATCCTGTCTAATGAGCATCTTAAGCCATGACTCTTTGGAGTAAGAATGCTTTTATTTTTGCAGAGTTCCTTCATCATGAGACTGACAAAACACAGGCTGCAACTGCATCCATGGAAGAAGGTTTGCAATTTACGGTGCAAGAAGCACTGTTTCAGCTCCCAAAAGCTGAAAGAATAAAATACACGGATAAGCTTTTTGCTTTCTTTCTACCCTTCTGAAAGGACTGATATAAAAGTAGATATAATGTTTTGGTTATCGAATTCAAGACTGAATGAGAAGGTGCAATTTGTGCATATAATGTGCTTAACCAGTGTTTACAGTAAATTTCCCAAGGGCTGAGAACGAGCACTCTACGACAAAACCTGTTTTCATCCAAACAGACCTTTTTTTCCCTGGGAACACAGGTTGCAGCAGCTGAGCTGTTTGGCAGAGACGTGCTGTGTGGGTGCCAACCGCTGGACCCACAGCCAATTGCATATTTGTTGTCTTTAAAGAGACATTTAATTATACAAGGTCAAGCAGTGGCACGAGGAAAAGCGGAGCATGGTTTGTTGTAAATGAGCCGTCGGTCTGGTGGTTTATTTACTTGCAACGTAGAGATCCAGGTTGAAGTCCCTCTCACTCTGGTGTCTCTTGGGTGAGTTCCTAAACCACAAGACCAAGTGGTTCTTCTGACAGCCTTCATTTTGTTCTGCTGTGATCAATAGCTATCTTATTCAGGAATGGATGCTTTCAAAATCTCATTGCTGCGGTATGAGAAAACTATTCTCTTCCTACCTGCATGGTGTGCACTACAACACAAGAGGCCATGGAGAGAAGTCATCCAAAGGCCTGGGTGGCTCTGGGAGAGCACGAGTCATACGGTAGTGAAATACAGAAGGAAACCAGTCTTAGACCATCCATTGCCTGATTTAGCTGATGCACTTTTGTAATGTGGCCCCATCACAAGCAAAGCCGCACTGTCATGTACAGAGCCCCCCGTATGGGCCAAGCACACAAGCAGTGTGCACTGGATGGGCGCGACCAAGCCACTGCTCAAGTCAGAGAACCTTGGGAGTTATTTTGTGGGAGTGGGGAGGAGTGGAAACTTGCACTTTTTGAGAACTTAAGAATCTGGTTTCAATCTGTAGTGCGCTCCTCTGTGTTTCTCAAAGCAAGTCATTGCCCTAAGTGTGAATCTGGAATAACGCCAAAAAACATATGGAATTTTCTCTTCTTTTTTTTTTTTAAGAAACAATACTTCAGACTATAACAAGGTTCTTTTTTTTTTAAAAAAAGTGCCACATGGATAGGGGCACCTATCTGAAAAGGCTTTATGCCGAGTGTAAGTGCTGGCTGTTCCTTCATATGTCTCCTGTGTTATCAAGGTGGGGTTTTTACCAGATATTTGTTGTTCTTGCCCAACAACAGCTCCAGTCTTGGTTCATGTTTTTCTAGCTGCTTCTGGGAGGCTTGGTAATAGAAAACTGAGAACTCCTGAAGGAGTGAGTGCACCTGTATTTGCACATCTGTAGCAATCTTTTACTTCCCGAAAAAAATGATACTTGTGCTCTCTAAAGAGGCATAGTTCATCCTAAGGCTCAACATATTGCCAAGGGATAAACACATGTATTAGGAATTTTAGAAAGCTGAAAATGTATCACAGATAATATATCTAGTCAGACTTTGAAGGAAATATTTGGAGAAGCGTTTACCATATGAGCATCTGTCTCCCCATTTAAGGCCATAGGAACTTCACCATTGACAACTGTGGGAACTGCATTAAGCCAAAGCTAAGCACTACTCAGAAACTTGTTCAAAGGCAAAGACATTTTTCCTCACATCACATCATCCTAACCACAGACAAAAAGATGCAGAGATTATTTTTAATATAATTTATATGTTTATAATTTATTAACATGTAGCCGATTATAAATGAAAAAAGTTCATCAGAAATTAATAAATAAAGTAGATGTTAGGGAAGTATTTGGGCTTGTAGCTGCCTGTCAGCACTTGACTTTCAATGCAGGTAAACATGAGGTGTTCCTTCTGTGCACAACACTGAGATTTTAAACCTAATTCTCTTTAGTGTATTTATTTGTCTGTCAAATGGATTTAATACTGAATTTGCCACTTCAGTCGTACTAAAGCTGCTGCTTTGTTAGTGTAAAACATATTATTTGAACAGAGCAATGAGATTATTTTATCAGTATCACTTTGTCTACAATAATCAATACACCACAGAGAAAAACGGGCAAATCTCTATACATGAAATGCCTGGGTCTTCTTGCTTCTCTGAAAAAGCTCTTCTCAGCAGCTTAACGTCTCATAACAGCCTGTGCCGGCAACTTGTTTTCTGAGTTTACATTTTCTGTCTTCAACAGTGATTTCTTTTGAGCCCATTGAGATGGTCCTGGGGGCTTCCAAAGCTGGAGGTAAGAGTCTGATTATACTTTTGTTGATGAATCAGTCACTCCTGACTCCCGGTGAAAACCGATTTTGGTTTATGAAGCTCTATGGTGTCACAGGCAAAAATATGCAGCTCAGGATTTCTGGATGATATCCCTAGCTCTTCTGCTGACTTGCACATCCCTGAGCAAACCACTTCATTTCTCCTAATTACCCTCTTTATAAAACAAGGCTATAGTGATGTCCGGTTAAGCTTTATGATGTTTTCAGTAAAAGTCACTCCAGAAATGCATTGCAGAAATAGAGCAGGTAGGTCACTACCACAATGTCTCTGCTTTTTGTACAGTTACCACAAGGGACCACAGAGGTACAGCTCCTGCTCCCTCCATCCCCTCGATAAAAGGTCAGTGACTCAGCTTTCCTTTTTCTTTGGCTGGCGCAGCAATACATCATCTAAAAGCAATATATCATCTAAAAGCATCACATTTAAAAATCTATGCATGGTGACAACAGGGCTGCGGAGAAGCAAATTTAGATCAGGGTCAGATAGGAGATACACAAACAATAAAACCAGACTGAGAAGTATTCACTGTCTGTTGCCCCCAGCCACTCATTTGCACTCCTCACAGAAGTAGCTGTGAAAACCTTTTCATATAAGGTTTTCTGATATAATGGTTGGTCCTTTAATTTACACTCATAGCATCTGCTGCCAGAAGGGTTCATTTTGATTTTGCCTCCTCCTTTATTTTACAGAATTTCATAGAATTCCTTCCCAGTCTAAAACCTACTTCAGCTTTTGCAGTTGTTATTGCTTTGAGCACAGCCACACCAGTAGCTACAGCTAGAAGTGGAGCACCTTGGTAGATTTGGAAGTTTTCAGTGACCTCTTTTTTGTAGAAAGGATCATTCAGGGCAGACTGAAGTGCACCAGAAAAATGTCAAGGAGCACTGAATATGGAGAGTAGAAAGTAGTTATTTTTTAACTCTGATTACACTCTCTGGACAGTAGCCATGTCTCCCACCCCAATACAGAAATATGGCATTGCTGTACTAAACACCTGGTCAAATGTTCTCCTCCGTTAACTTGAATGTATCAGAAAATCTCTGTGTTGTGTTGCAGGTTTGCATGGCTCCTGGAAGATTATTTGTAATATCTGTTCTTAGATAAGTGCAGAATTTCCCAAACTTCAGGTTTATTTTCTATATCTAGCAGGAATCGCTTTCATTTCAACACATCACTGTCAAACCAAGTCCATAAAATCTGCACTTTGCTGAGCTATTAAAACTAGCATGTTACTATTGATCCCTTTCTGCAATCTTTCATGGGCTTCCTCGTGTTCTTAGTGGTATTCCAATTTTTTTTTATCTATTCTCTTATCCTAAGACAGGTTATTTTCAATATATACTAAAACCAGAACTTCAGAGGGACAAATTTAATGAATTTGAGTTTAAACCAAGTAATAAGTTCAGCCAAGGAATTTAAAAGGAAAGGCTTTAAAACCGTGGAAACACATGCTCACTAGTATTTTCAAAGTATTTTGTTTGTGAAATGCCACATTCTTCATATTGACATTTAGAAAAAATGAAACTATTTGATTTCCATTTTATAACAGTGTTTTTCATTTACAGGTTAACTTATATAAAAAAGGATAAAAAAGAAAGAAAAAAAAGTTAAGTAATCCCCAAATTAAGCAAAACATTCCTGATCAACAATAAAGCTTCAGATAGTCTGAAAATAAATAATACCAATTTATTTTTTAGGATCAAGAATCTCCTTAAAATTCTACCCATCTTCAACTTATTTTCCCTTTAATATTTGCTTGTGTTTACAGTGAAATACATCCTTCAGTTGCCCAGCTCTGCATCAGTCAAATCATTTTCTACCTTCCTTAATGTTGCTACCAGTTTTGGTACCTTCATGTGAATGAACACTTTCTTTAGCAATTTACTCAGAAAGTGATATCTCACCTGCATCTCCCAGTATGGCTGACTAATCAGTAACCCATATGATTTTCAGCAACCGGCACAGCTCTTTACCTCAGTATGCAACATATAAAACAAAAAAAAAAAAAACCAACCCATTAGTTACACTGGTCCTATTTAACCAGCATCTTGTTTTCTGAAAGGCCAGAAATGCGAAGAAATGACCAGTGTGGGTACTCTTTGTTTTTCCAATCTTCATTTTGAATTGTTTTTTTTCTCTACTGATCATCGGTTCACACGAGTTCTGCCTGAGGATATTACTCTGACCTGCTATCTAAAATGAAAATCTTGCTGTTTATTGCTCCATGTCTTCCACTTTCTGCTTATTCAGAAGAGGACGGATTTATGGAAGCTGTGGTCCCAGTGGAAGAGATAACCACCTCCCCAGCCTTCTTCCCAGGAGATATCAACACAATACAAGTCAAAATTGTCCCCACCAAGAAGATTCCTGCAGGCATATCTGCAAGGACAAAGGAAAAAGGCAAGTAAAAACTGAATTACACCTATTGTAACTTGCAGCACTCCCCTGTTCCTGTCCACAGTTATATGAGGATTCAGCATTTCTCACAGGTATGTAGAATAGCACTATTTGCTCCCTAAATCTGGATACATTACACAGAATACAGGGTGCGCAACACATTGCACTGGAAAGGGCAGTTCACTGTCAAACACTGAGCAGGAAAGCTTAACTAACCATTAATGAACAGTCTTCCAACTATGAATTAAACAACTGTTAGAAGACTTCCAATTGATTGTGGTTCAGACTATGCACGTTTGGATACCTTACTGAAAGGAGAGTTTATTCTACGTTTACAAGTCTAATCTATGCATATGTCATCTCCAGAGATGAGTCCTGCAAGGGGTGGCCAGAGCACAGCTTCCTCTGGAATAGCTCTGGAACGGGTACTGTCTGACAGGGGACCCAATGAACCTGCAGGAAAAGGTAAATGAAGGGTTTTTTTCCAGTTATATCTAATGAAATATTCAGCTACCTCTATACTAAAAGGTAGGTGCATATTACATATAAAGATTATAGTTATTCTAAACCAGTTAGACAAGCATATATGTGTTGGTATTTATAAGAACAGGAGGTGCAGTCATCTGCAAAAGCTCCCAACAGTTTAACCTCTTCCACCAATGTGCTATCATTAACACTTACAAAAACTATTTATGATTAGGTCACAAGTACATTTTTCATACAGTACAAGATCTAAAATGAGCTCAGCGAATGTTTACCCTTGCTTTTGTTTTTAGGCAGTAATTTAATCAAATCTTTGAGTTACTTTATTTTACAAGCAGGAGAAGCAATAAAAGGAACCCTGCTCCTCACTCTGATCTCTTGCCAAAGTCTTGCCAGATTCGGCCTTTTTCTCACCAGTTCTGATTCTGTTCCAAATCCTGTCCAGAGTTCACAGAGATCCTAAGACATTTCAGACCTGTCACTGCTGTAAATCCACACTCATGGACTGTCCCATCCATCTTGTTAAGCTTCCCAATGGAGAGAAGCAGTCCCAGAGCTGGAACAGAGCAGACATGAAGAATCAACCCAGCCTTCTGTTAAACTGGAAAATTTGACTGTAAAATATCAGCTTTTAGAGAGTGCATGTCAGTGCATGAACCTGGGGTTTGTTCTTGGTGAATTAACATGAGTGAGCAAAGACCCAAGCAGGCACGGCAGAATTTTCTGCTGGGGGAAGTAATCCAGGGTTGTCCCTGGAAGAAGCAGAGACAGTCAGTCTAGAGCTGCAGAAGGGAAGATGGGATTCCTCACAGGAGCAAGGAGGATGCACCAGGAATGGAAGCCTGCCCTCTCTCTCCCCCAGTCCAACTATCAGCCCCTTCAAGTCCTTTCCCTGGCAAAGACCCAAAAGAGACCCCCTTGACATCATTTTTCCTGATATAGAACACACTCTGCTCTCAAATCTTAGGGATAATTCCCACAATATCAGTTCCTCCTGAGTGGGTGAAGCCACAGAGGCATTAGGGTTGGGACGCAGAGGTGCCAAGACCTCGGCAGCACAGTAACCATTATAACAGATTGCTCCTGCATTTGGGATGGAGGCATCAAAGCTCTAATCAAACTGCAGTTAAAAAACATGAATGTCATAATCCAAGGTGGTCTTCCTTGGTTTGTAATATCAGGAAACAATTCTCTTTGAAGTGAAAATCCAGAATCTTTCTTTTGGGAAAGCAACACTATTACTGATTGCACTGCGACAGTAGCCAGGCTTTATCAGGACAAATTTTGTAAGTATACCATGAAGGAATTATGTACATCTTAATCCTAGTAGACCTTTAATGCTAGGTGGAAGGTATTTGAAATGAAAAATAAAAGTTATTGTTTCCTCCAGCACAGCATAGTCATTGCCCAGCTATCACTGTGCAAGCACAAGAGGGTAGGACTCAGATTTCTGAGTTAGCCAAGACAGAAGCTACTGAATACTCAGCTAGGTTTGAATATTCTAGAAGGAAAATCTAACTGTGAAGGATTACAAGGGATTGCAAAGTATTCTCATTGAAATCCAGTTGGACTTCTAATTTACATTTTTATAGGGATCTCTCTGCCCCTTAAGTATTTCCCCCCACTTCTGCTGTCTTGCTCAGTAGTATTCCAAGAGCCATAGTTCACGGACAGGATCAATGATTTAGAAATAGTAAAATGTTGTCTCTAAGAGTTTCTGATAGCTCTGAAAATACTTCTATCATCACAAGAGAGCCCCCAACCAGCAAAAACATGATGTGTCATATAAAATTTTTTGCTTTATAGTGTGTGGGCAATTAACCTTTCTGCAAGAGAGAGGAAACGGAAGAGTGAAGAGGGAGCTGGCCCAGCTAGGAGAAATGCTGTTCTGTTTAACTGAGCGATGCCCAGAGGAATTTGAGTCTTATGGTTGTTACTGTGGCCAAGAAGGAAGAGGTCATCCTGCTGATGCACTGGACAGGTGTGGGCTCCTCTATAATCTGCCATTAACCGTGGGTATTACTGGGGTGTCTGTGGACCAACAAAGATCAGTATGCCTTTTGTTGGGCCTTGTAAAACTGTGTATCGGTAGTCAGGCCACATTTTGGAAAAAAAAAAAAAAATAGCCATTTAAATACATAAAACATGAAATACTCAAATGTCACTAAGACATTCTATTACTGCATCAATGCTTTGGAGAGGACTTACTAACTCAAGAAAAGAGAATGGTGGGAGGCAAGCGGAGCAGAAGGAAGAGTATATCAAGAGATGAGGGTAAAGGTTGCCATGAAACTTTGCTAAGAGGTGGTTTGGAAAGTGATTATGAAGAGAAGAGTTAACATACATCTGTGCCCCACTGGCCTTCAGAAGAGAGTACAGCTCAAGTGGAGTACTGCCTGAGCTGTAGCCAAGAGACCTACCGCAGTCGACTGTGTGCCGTCACGGCACGTCTGACAAAGAGGAGGAATTCTGGAGTAATGCAAAGAATTCAACCAAAGTAAAGAAATCTCCTTTAAGAGTGTTGCATTTACAGCTAAAAATCTCTCCCTGTGTGAAAGTTCATAGGAGTTGGGGCCACATCAGGTCTAGGTATAGCACTTAGTATATAGCACACGCAATTTTGCTACACTTGCACACAAATAAGACTGCCTACGCACGATCAAGTAGACTTGACAAAGGCTAGTCAAGGCTCTGGTTATCATGATGCAGTTTTCAGATGTTCAGCCAACAATATTTGAACAGTGGCAGACACAGTTATGATTGTAATTATATGTCTTAAAATTGAAACAAAAAACCCTAAAAAACTACAGCACTGTTAAACATATAATACCGGAGGAATTAGGAAGGAGGTAGTGAAAATAGGAACAGGTATAGGAGGAGAGTAGGAACAGTTTGGGGTGTTTTTCTTTATGGAAAAGATTTTTCCATTATATGAAAACTAAAATTTCTCAGTTTTAATGGGCATTGAAAATAAAGAGATAAAATAATTGCAAGTACTCTGTGATGCAGGAGGAGTAAGTATTTTTCAGTTACATCTACTGTTTATTTTAGGTGCTGCTTCTTTCATCATTGTTGTATGGAACAAGTTAAGAAACTTGGATGTCATGCAGAAAGAAGTTCAAGATCTGAAGTTGTATGTTTTGATCATAAGCCAAAATGTAAGTTGGGGTTACAGGAAATTTCTCATGTCCTGATGACAGTGTATCAAGGCATTATAGACTGAATGCCACCATGCCTGAGGGATGCTAGAGCTGAGTATGGAGGCAGAAAAATTTGGCTTACAAAATGTTAGCAAAGCTTACTGTAAACCTGAGCTTTTTTCCTAATTGAAATAAAGGTTATTACATCACTCCATATGATGCGAGCAGGTCAGGTTGAGAAAATTACCTTCAGATATTTTATGATTGGAGACAGAAGTCAGTTGGTGCTGTCTTTATATTCACAAATTCAACTAAAGCCAGTTGTACCTTCAGCTGCCTGGTACCTTGGTGATAGGCTTATATTTAGATGATTAAAGGTGAATTTGGAGACTAAAATTCAAGGCAGATCTGAAAATTTTATTTTCAAAAGCTTATCTTGGCAAATTACACATTGACTAATTGTAACTGCTTTGAAATATTTATTCCGAAACTTCTTTTTAAGGTACTGGTTGGAGCACATGTGAGAAACTATTATGTGCTTGTGATAAGACAGCAGCCGAGTGCATGGCTTCTGCTGCCTTCAATGAAAGCCTTAAGTTTCCACACAGGCAAGAGTGCCAAGAGGAGAAAATCTTATGTCAAAGTGACCCTTATGAAAGGCCTTCAATCGGCACAGAAATAGTCACTGAGATTTCCAGCTCGGAGGAGAGCAGTGAGGAGGAAGGTCCACTGTGGAGCGTATTAAGAAGAGCAAAGAGAGAGACACACCGTCCTGTTGGAAACATGCAACATGAAGGCAGATAACCAGCTACCACCATGAGCCTGAGAAACGGCACGCAGACTTTCGCAGTCAGCCATTGCATACCTTACTCTTTCTTATCACTCTGCAGGCTGCCTTACACTTCCCAGCACATGAATGACATAATCATAGGCTAGTTAATAAATGTTAGGCTGTATAACTCCTTACTATAGTGAAGTCAGCACTATGGACCATCTATTTAGGTCAGATATTACCTTAAATAAGTATTTGACAGTATTCTCTATAATTTAATTTGATTTCTATGTAAAATCTGTTCTGATCAACAACTGATTTTTGTTAACTGTGTAGTTGGTTCAGAGTGGCTCTTGATGATGGCGGCTAAGTATTTCAGGTTTTTAATTAAACCAATCTGCAACTACTCCAACTCCTTTTGCAGACATTCCTCCTTTACTGAGCTTAGCAGGAAACACCCAGAAGAAAAGCTAAGGTAATTACATGAAAATGAGTTCCTTCTTCCTTTCCTATCTAATTGTAATTTTCAACCCCCAGAGTTTCTGTTGGTCAATCAGATCATGACAGTAAAAGACACATTCCTTACCCAAAACCTGTGTACTATGCACGGTTATCTCCAGTTTTGAGAGATTTCAGGATGTTAAAGGGAAGAAATTTGGAGGTTCTGCTTCCTGGGATCAACTAAAACTAATGTATTCTGAAGTATGTAATGTAAAGCTGGAATAATACTTTTTGCATTTTACTGAACCCAGGTTTGTTTGCCTTATTTTTTTCCCAAAATTCACCATTCATAAGATTTACCAGTTATCAGAGAACAGCAGTATCAAAGGTTATGCACATCCTTTTACTTGATAAGGTACTAATTTAGACTATGCTTTGTTCACAAAATATTGCCACAAGAAATAAAATTACTAGAACTTGGCTACTAATAACAAAGCCAAACAACAAAAAAACCCAGCTAGGGTCAAAATCACTAGCACCCTTGTTACTTTGATACAAAAGATGCACACAAAGGTATAACCTTTACATGTCTTTCTCATTAGATTTCAGTTGTATAGCACACAACAGTGCACGTACACGGCTTAAACCCAGGTGACCTGCCCAAAATAGCACATAACATCTTACTCAATGGGATTACTGAGTTTCCATATTTTCCATATTTTCTCTGAGCATGTATTTGCAAAACTAAAACCATACTAATAAGGTACTTTCTCTGTAAGCACATCTAATTGTAAGAGTGAAGATTTGATTTCTTGGTCAAAAGCAGTCATAGCTTTTTAACTTGATTGGCCATTCATCTGTTGACCTGCCATAACTGACTTTGTGCTGGGTTTGCATCACTCATGAGATGTTTTAAAGGTTAGATTGGTGATTCCCACTCTTTTATTCAGTTGGATCATGTTGGCGTTCCTTTGTCTTCTCTTCAACTGCATCCTTGATCCCCAGTGCCTTATCTCACTCCCTGGGAAGCAGTAACAGCAACTCACTCTCACCAGCAGCTTCCCCAGTGCCGAGCACTGAGAGAAACAAAGCCTGACAACCCCCCCACCCCCACCTTTGAGTTCAGAGTTTGGGTTCAGTTCTGCACTGTGTCTCAGCACAACTTCCCAGGCATCTCGGAAACTAGAACCAGAAATCAAAACAAGGTAGTTTTACTTCGCAGTTGAGGTGTCTTCAGATGTTAACCATGACAGAATGCAACAGCTCAGGTACCACATTATCTGAGACACTTGGATTCCCAGTTGTACAATTCTGAGCCTGCAAACCTACAGCAGGATTAAAAAATATGTTAACATTGGTGTAAAAGTTCACTTACTTTGCATATTGTTCTTCGTAAGTTCAACTTCAAGTGGTATGTCAAGGAGTCAGGTTGGTTTGTGTGATCTTGAACATCCAGAAATGGATTAATAATTGATTTGAGGGTCAAGTCATACCTCTCTCACTTTCTCTTGGAATTAGAAAAGTCTCTAAGAATTCTCACCTAATGATTCAGTTTGCTTAACAAAGGCATAATTTTATTTGTTACTATTAACTAAAAAAATAATATGAAAAAGCAAAATAATCATTTTACAAAATATTTTTATTGAAAAGATTCCAGATTTCCCTCACTTTTAAACGTTCTCTTAGAACAAAAAGATTTAAAGGCGGTGTTACTGAAACTAGCAGTCAGTTGCTGAGGCGAGCTGCTCCAGAGCTGGCCCAATCCACAGCGGAGCAGCAGATCTTGGTGTACAGGGGGGTTTCCTGGGGCAGGGAAATGCCAGGGGAGCAGAGAGACCTGCCGGGAGCCGACAGCTCTGGTGGGAGATGCTGACAAGGCCCGGGTGTTGCCAGAGCAATGGTGGGAGGTGTAAATGGGTAGAAATGAAGCTAGCAGTCAGTCGCTGAGGCGAACTGCTCCAGCGCTGGCCTGGTCAACAGTGGAGTGGCAGATCTTGGTGTACAGCGGGGTTTCAGTCGCACCCAGCCTATTAATAAATTTCTCCGTGGCTGGTGTCACCACCAGAATTATGGGTTTTTCGATAAGGGGATGGTCTACATAGCACCAGGCCTGCTGGCGTTGGGTAGGATTCACCTTTCTCAATGGGGCAAGAGGGTCTTTGCTCACAAGCTAGCAGGGCTCATTGACAAAACTTTAAACTAGACTTGAGTGGGGAGAGGGATAACATCAGGCTCGCCCATGACAAGCCGTGGGCTGCCATGCCAAGGTTAGAGGGACGGGTGCTAGCGAGAGCCCTCAGCCTGTTGCTCTGAGGCTTGCTGAGTACACTGGAGCACAGTTGAAGTCTTACGGAGATGAGCCAGGGGCTCCTGAGGTGCTAGGAGCCAAGAGGGAAACAGCAGTGAAATACCTCAAAGGAATTAAGGGGTGTTCCTCTAAAAAGGTGACACGGCCAGCAGCCCAGATGAAATGCCTCTACATGAACGCACGCAGTATGGGGGGCAAACAGGAGGAGCTGGAAGCTGCTGTGCTACTAGAGAGCTACAACCTGGTTGCCATTACTGAAACTTGGTGGGACGAATCCCATGACTGGAGTGTGGCTATCGATGGCTACAGGCTTTTCAGAAGGGACAGGCGAGGATGTAGGGGCAGAGATGTTGCCCTCTACGTAAAGAAATGGATACAGTGTGAAGAGCTGTCTCTGAAGAAAAGCCGTGAGGAGGTTGATAGTTTATGGGTAAGAGTCAGAGACAGAGGCAACAAAGGGAACCTGGTGGTTGGTGTCTGCTACAGGCCGCCTGATCAAGGGGAGCCTGCTGACAAAGCCTTCTTCCTCCAGCTCCAGGAGGCATCATGCTCACAGGTTCTCGTCCTGCTGGGGACTTCAACCACCTCGACATCTGTTGGAAAAGTAGCACAGCGAGCTGTAGGCAATCCAGGAGACTCCTGGAATGCATTGAGGATAACTTCTTAAGCCAGGTAATAGACAGCCCTGCCAGAGGGAATGCAATACTGGACCTGATGGTCATCAACACAACCGTGCTAACTGGTGATGTCAAGATTGCAGGCAGCCTGGGCTGCAGTGATCATGGTGGAGTCCGCAGTCCTGAGGGATATGGGTCAGGTGAAGAGTTAAGTCAGGACCCTGAATTTCAGGAAAGCAAACTTCCAGCTCTTCAAGGAGTTAGTCAGAAAGACCTCCTGGGAAACTGCCCTATTGGACAAGGGAGATGAACAGAGATGGCAGATCTTTAAGGACACCTTCCATAGAGCACAAGAGCTCTTGATCCCCAGGTGTAAGGAAGGCAAGAGACCAGCATGGCTGAGTCGAGACCTGCTGGTCAAACTAAAGAGTAAGAGGGAACTGCGCCAGGTGCCCTGGGAAGAGTACAGGGACGCTGCCCGGTTGTGTAGGGAGGGGGTCAGGAGGGCCAAGGTGCAGCTGCAGCTGAACTTGGCAAGGGATGCAAAGAATAATAAGAAGGGCTTCTACAGGTATGTCAGCCCAAAAAGGAAGGTCAAAGAAAGCGTACTTCCCCTTAATGAGCAAGACTGGCAAACTGGTAACAACAGATGAGGAGAAGGCTGAGGTACTCAACAACCTCTTTGCCTCAGTCTTCACTGGCAACCTCTCCTCCCACACTTCTCAAGTGGATGGACCACAAGACGGGGACTAGGGGAGCAAAGCCCCTCCCACTGTAAGAGAAGATCAGGTTTGTGACCACCTGAGGAACCTGAACACATGTAAGTCTATGGGACCTGACAAGATGCATCCCAGAGTCCTGAGGTGAGAGATTTGGTTGATGTGTTTACAAAGCCACTCTCCATGGTATTTGAAAAGTCATGGCAGTCGGGTGAAGTCCCTGCTGACTAGAAAAAGGGGAATGTTGTGCCCATTTTTAAAAAGGGAAGAAAGGAGGGCCCCGGGAACTACTGACCTGTCAGCCTCACCTCTGTGCCTGGGGAGAATCCTGGGCTGCATCACAAGAAGCGTGGCCAGCAGGTCGAGGGAGGTGATTCTGCCCCTCTACTCTGCTCTGGTGAGACCTCACCTGCAGTACTGCGTCCAGCTCTGGAGCCCTCAGCACAGGAAAGAATGTAGTCACTCCACATGTTGGAGTGGGTCCAGATGAGGGCCACAAAAACGATCAGAGGGATGGAACACCTCTGCTATGAGGGAAGGCTGAGAGAGTTGGGGTTGTTCAGCCTGGAGAACAGAAGGCTGCGGGGAGACCTTAGTGTGGCCTTTCAGTACTTAAAGGGGGCTTATAAGATGGGGACAGACTTTTTAGTAGGGCCTGTTGCAATAGGACAAGAGGTAATGGTTTTAAACTAAAAGAGGGTAGATTTAGACTAGATATAACGGAGAAATTTTTTACAATGAGGGTGATGAAACACTGGAACAGGTTGCCCAGAGAGGTGGTAGAGGCCCCATCCCTGGCAACATTGAAGGTCAGGTTGGATGGGGCTCTGAGCAACCTGACCTGGTTGAAGATATCTCTGCTCATTGCAGTGGGGTTGGGCTAGATGACCTTCAAAGGTCCCTTCCAATCCAAGCTATTCTAAGATACCATGTTTCTCTAACATTTC